AGGCGCATTGAAGCGGCCCTGGTTCCGGTGCTTTCGGAGTTGGGTCGACAAGTACACCGCCGCTGTCTACGCCGTTTCCACCATTAGACGTCATGCCTTCACCTGCTCCATCTCTGGTTTCGCGTGGCGTGTATTTGGGATACGACTGCTTTGGTTTTGCCCCGTCCCATGACCTACCGCACCGATTCGGTTTTACGACGCCCGAATTTGTACGGCCCCGATGATTTAATATGAATGGACTTTTGTGGCCGTCTTCACGACCCATTCGTTCAACGGAGCTCCCCGATTTCGCTGCCCTGTTGGCCTTAAAGCATCTATGGCTTCCCCCCGCTCAGCATCCATTTTTGTGGTCAGCGCCTCTGGCGGAGCCGCTGCTGTACAATCGGCTGATGCTTACGAGTCCGCTACCCACCACTACTTCTGCCTTCCATTTCGCGCAGACTATACTTCTCCCCAAAATTTGCCGTGGCCTACCCCTGCGTGTCACCCAAACCGTCCCGGCAGGCGCAAGTATGGCTATGATTGTCACTGCATAATTTTTAAGGAAGAGGTGTCCAAAAACTCCTCTCTCCCCTTGTGGAAGATGCTGGGGGAAGTCGTCCTCCGCGATTCCACTCTCCGCTCCGCCCGAGAACTCGCCCGAGGCAGCTTTGTAGACACCCTCTAACACAATCCTCCGCCGGATCGACCATCTCTAACGGCCCGGGAATGAGTCGGGGCTTGCCGGTTTGGAAATTGGAAGGAATCTGTTGCGTATTCTTGTCATCGGAGCCAATCGGTTTCATTGGGCCCACGTTGTGCGGCGCCTGTCTGATACGCTGGGCCCGAAAGTAGCTGGCACCTTTCCGGTCTCGCGTCCCCCGGCGAGACGGCAATTTCCTGGCACCAGTCGAGCTAACGGCGGCCAAGCGTGGAGCAGTGTTCCGTCGGCTCAACCTGACGGGGTGTGCAGCCTGGCGGCCATGCCCTGACGTTGGAACGGGCCTACGAACCTGGACGTGGGCCACGGCGTTAATAACGGGTCGCCTACCACGTCATCAATAGTCGCGGCTCAGCGACCTGCACGGAGCCAGGATGGTTTTCCGTTTCCACCCCCGATACTATTTCAGGATTCAGCCGGCCACGCGTGCTACTACCAGGCGAAGATGGATTCCCGCTCCACCACCCACTACTGTCGGAACCAATTTAGCCGACGGGTCGGTGGCGAGTCTGGCCGCGGACTGGAGCAGCCTCCGCACCAGTAATTGTTTAGTGTTGCCGCGCCGGAACAGCGTAACGTACGCCCCGTGGTGCTCGACCGTCCTGCGGAGCGGCAGCCTACCTGACGACGCCCGCACCGATGTGTAATCGAACACCGGTTTACGTGGAACACGACCTGACGGATGGCATCGCCAGTTTGGTGGTCACATGCGACCATACCCAGGAAGCTCACACATGAGGCCGGTAGAGATGGGCGCATCTGTGAGCATGTATGACTTCGCCACCCGGACCATCAGCCAGAAGCCTCGACCTGTGGACCGCCACTTGGTGATCCCCATAGATGCCTCCACCCACACGCGCCGGCGTCAGATAGCCGCGCGGGTGCGAACACGTAGCAGCAACCCGCGAACCTGACCTCCTCGGGCTGGACTGTTCGGAGACGGTGCGGTCTCGACCTGGGCTGAATCATCCGGGAATGTGTTGATGGCGAGAGGTGCTGGTCGGCAATGCGTCGGCGGCTCTGATTGTCGGAGACCAGCAGCGACGACGTTTCGTGGTAACATCCGCACTTAAGACACGTCTATGCCTCACGCGTAACCGCTTTAATCCGTCATTGCGAGGAGCGCCCGCTCATCCCGAGCTCGTCGAGGGACGTGGCAATCTCGATGAGGCTGAACCACACTTCCGACGAACCCGCCGTTTCTACGGCGACGGGATTGCCACGCTACGCTCGCAATGACAATGTGGGTACGCAAGACACGTTCATTCCGCAGGAACACACCCATGAACCCAGTTTACCTGGACTACAACGCCACCACTCCAATCGATCCTCGGGTAGCCGAGGCGATGCTGCCCTACATTTACAAACACTTTGGCAACCCTTCCAGCGGCCACCTATTCGGACGCAACGCCAATGACGGTGTCAACGCGGCACGCCGGCAGGTGTCCGAATTGCTCGAATGCCATAGCGACGAACTCATTTTCACCAGCGGCGGCACCGAGTCCAACAACTACGCCATCAAGGGCGCCCTCGCTGCCAACCGGAGCCGGGGCAACCATATGATTACCTCGGCGGTGGAGCATCCGGCCATCATTGAAGTGTGCAAGTTTCTGGAGACCCAGGGCTACCGGGTTACCTATCTGCCAGTGGACGAATACGGGATGGTTGACCCCGGGCAAGTGGAAGAGGCTATCACCCCGCAGACCACGCTCATCAGCATCATGCACGCCAACAACGAGGTGGGCACCATAGAGCCAATCGAGGCAATCGCCGAGGTGGCCCACCGGCACGGCGCGCTTTTGCACGCCGATTGCGCTCAATCCGTCGGCAAGATTCCGGTGCTGGTGGATGAACTGGGAGTGGACCTGCTGTCCATCGCCGGACACAAACTCTACGCTCCAAAGGGGATTGGCGCGCTGTACGTCCGCCGGGGTGTGGCGTTGGAAAAGCAGATGCACGGAGCCGGCCACGAAGGGGATTGGCGGGCCGGCACCGAGAATGTGATACACATGGCCGCGCTGGGTCAGGCCTGCGAGTTGATTCACCATCACCTGCCCGACTACCAGCGACACATGGCAGAGATGCGTGACCGTCTGGAAGCCGGCTTGCAGGGCACGTTTGGCAACATTCGGATCAACGGGCACCCCAGCAAACGCCTGCCCAATACCTCCAGCGTCAGCTTCAAGCGGGTGGAAGCCAATACCGTTCTGGCCGGAATGGTAAACCTCGCTGCATCAGCCGGGGCGGCCTGCCATAGCGATCGGGTAGAGGTGTCTAGCGTCCTCGAGGCAATGGGCGTTCCGCTGGAATACGCCATGGGCACCCTCCGGTTTTCAGTCGGCAGATATACCACCGCCGAGGAAATCGACCGCGCCGTGGCCGAGGTTGCCAGAGTCGTGATTCCCCATCTGCAGGCCGCAGCGTCGGTCGGGTAGGGGATGCGAACACTCCCAGCATTACACCCGGATTGCCCACATGGTAATATCCCATCCAGATTGCAGAACGCTGGTCATGTGACTGCATTGCGCCTCGCCGCTTCGCAAACCCGGCGTGACCAGATTGACTGAAACTGAATCGCAAAAGGAGCTGGACAATGGCAGAGCTAGTATTGGGTTTGGCATCTTCGCATAGCCCTCAACTCAGCACCCCGGCGGACGGATGGGCCGGACGCGGCGAGCGCGACAAGGGCCACGTTGAGTTGATCGGCACCGACGGCATCACTTCCAACTACGAAGGTCTGTTGGCGCGGATCGACTCGGAGCGCATCACCAAAGAGATAACCCAGGCCAAATTTGAGCAACGGCACCAGCAAAACCAGAAGGCCATCGCCCACCTTTCCCGCAAGCTGTACGAGGCCAGGCTGGATGTGCTGGTGATGGTAGGGGACGACCAGCACGAGTACCTTTTGGACGATAATATGCCCGCCTTCTGCGTCTATTGGGGCGACGAGGTGAAGATTTCCGGCCACGAGGCCGGCCCGTCAACCGGCAACCAGCCGCTGATCGGCTACAGCACGGAAGACCAGATCGCGCCCACCGACTCAGCGTTGGCCAGGCACATTATCGATAGCCTGATGGACGACGAGTTCGATGTGGGGGTGTCCAGCTTCCTGGATCCAAGCAAGGGAGGACGGGCCAAGGGCGGCATCGGCCACGCCTCCGGGTACGTCTATAGCCGTTTGATGACCGAGGCCACGATCCCCACCGTGCCCGTCATGCTCAACACCTACTATCCACCAAACCAGCCTACGCCGAAACGGTGTTACAACCTGGGGCAGGCCCTGAAGTCGGCCATCGAATCCTGGCCAAGAGACATCAGGGTAGGCATACTGGCCTCCGGGAGGCCTGAGCCACTTCGTAGTTGACGAAGATCTGGACCACCAGGCGTTGCAGGGCATGAAAGCAAAGAGCGTCGAAAAGCTGTCCGCGCTGCCACGGGAGAAGATCAACTCCGGCAGCTCCGAAATACGCAACTGGATTGTGGTAACCGGCGCCACCGAGCATCTGGATATGGACATCGTGGACTACGTGCCATGCTACCGCTCCCCGGCCGGCACCGGCTGCGCGATGGGGTTCGCCACCTGGGGCTAGGCCGTATGTCCGCGGCAGCCACTCAAGACCGAAGGGGCTTTGAAATCAGCGTTTTTATCCGGTCAGTAATGTCTTGCTGGTCGTAGGTGCGTAGGAGATTAATCCGGTTGCGGTTGGGATCGCCGCCGTGCCAGTACTCGTAAATCTCCTGCCGCATCCCAAAGGATGACACCGCCAGGTCGTGGGCCAGCCGAAAGAGTCGAGATTTGTACTCCACGTCCACACCTCTCCCCGGCATATACCGATCGAGGTAGGGGCGAAACTCCGGGTTGGCCAGGTCGCCTTCGCTGGGCTGCATAATCATCCCGGATCCGGAAACCTCCCGCAGCAGCTCCACCATGCGGGCCGATGTCTGGGCGAAGTAGATGTTCATGCCGGACATCGACCCCAGGGACATCAGGCCATTGTCGGCCGGGTAGGCGTTTGTGCTCCACGCCGTCCATGGCGTGCGCCCACATTTCCGTGTAGGTGGCCATCTCGCCCAGCTTCGCCGCCACCTCCCGGTACTCAATCACCCCGATGGCTTCGGCGATGAGAGTGGCAACGGCGGTCATCAGCTTCATGCGCTGGTGGATGCGGCAAAGGTTGCTCCAGCCGCGGAAGTTGGCTTCGGATCCCAGGCGTTGCAGCAGCGGCGCCGAGTCATAGAGCATGAAAATGCGATCCCAGGGCACCAGAACGTGGTCGAAGAAAAGCATCGCGTCCTGTTCGTCGTACACCGCCGCCAGGGGATGCCCGTAGCTGCCCACCCATTGGGACACCGGTTCCCGGCATAGAATCTTCAACCCCGGCGTATCCGTAGGAATCGAAAAGGCCAGGATGAATCTGGGGTCGGCGCGCCGCACGAAGGTGGCCGACAGCGACACGTAGGTCTCGTTGCTGATCGGCGCGGCGGTGGCCAGCTGCTTGGCCCCGTGAACGATAACGCCGTTTGCGGTTTCCTCCACCACGTGCAGCGCCACCTCCGTCTCCTCATCCGCCCGGTTTTCGTTCTGGGGTTGTTGGCTGCGGTCCACCTGCGGATCACCGAGCGCGTGGGTAAGGAACAGATCGTTCTCCGCGCAGTACCGGAAGTAATTGGTGATGTTCTCGCCGAAGTCGCAATGCGGGTTTTTCACCTGCCCCAGCGCGTCTCGGATGGCATAGAGCCCGAGGATGTGCGGCGCCAGGATGTCCGGGCTGCGCCCCAATTGACCCCAGGACTCTTCATTCCAGATTTCGCTGTTGCGCCGTTGCCGCTTGAGGTCGTCGCGGGCGCGGGGCAAGAGCCAGGACACGCTGCACCGGTTTCCGGTATCAGGAGAAACGAAGGTCATCTGATCCCGGTATTCATCCGAGTGTTGCAGGTCGTAGATGCGGGCCAGCTCGTGAACCATCCCGGTCATGGCCGGGTGCCCGGCAACGTCGGTGACTTTAGCGCCGTCCAGCCAAACCTCGCGATTATCCTTGAGGCTCTCCACGTAGCGCGCGCCGGTCATGGCGCCCCGGGCAGACTCAATCTCCAGTACCATCGTTTCCTCCACGATTCGGTTGCGCGCGAGCTCGACACGATGGCCGTAGTCGCGCGGTATCCTGAGCGCCGCAGTCCATCCGCCGGCAATCAGGTGCGGCTGTTGAACACGTAGTGGGGAGCGCCGGCCGACGGAACTTCCCCGGCGGGCGACAGGCTTGTATAGAACCGCTCGACGTAGGGGGACAAGCGGGTCGCCATTCGCCGGGTCGCCAACGTCTCCGGTTCCAGCGGGCGGGCGAGTTGTTCCCGCAACTCCCTCGCAACGTCGGCACGGTTGAATCGCTGGTGCGCGCCGTCCTGCAGCAGCACCTCGCCGTCAACGATGACGGCGGCCACATCCTGAGTCTTGGCCCTGCCCAGAACGACCTCAACCGGCGGTGTATCAGGTTCCAGGTATGGGTCTTCCAGCCGATCCATGCGAATCAACAGCAGGTCGGCCCGACGCCCAGGTTCGAGGACGCCAATGTCGCCGGCGAATCCGGTGGGAGCGGCGGCGTTGGCCGTGGCCATGGCCAAGACTTGCTCGACGGATATGGCGGGCGCGCCGATGCCCGGCTGACGGTGCAGCTTGCTCACCAGCCGCATCTCCTGCAACAGGTCGTCATCGTCGTTGATGGCGGTGCTATCGGTGCCCATTGCCACGTTGACGCCCCGGGCCAGCATCGGGTTCACCGGCGCGATGCCGTTCTTGAGCCGCAGGTTGGAGCTGGCGTTGTGGCAAACCGTGGCGCCGGCGCCGGACAAAGCCTCGATGTCTCCGTCGGTGAGCCAAACTGCGTGAGCAAAAGAGATCTCCGGGCCCAGGAACTCCAGCTCGCGAAGGTGTTCCACCGGGGTCTTGCCCCAGGTTCGCAGGCCATAGTCTTTCTGGTAGGCGCTTTCCACCAGGTGCATGTGGATACCGGTTTGGTAACGACTCGCGTGTTCCTTGGTGCGTTGCAGGAACTCGTCCGAGTTCCACTGCACGTTGGCCGGGCTGAGCAGCACCCGCACTTTGCCGGACTCGTGGTCGTGGTATTGACGGTGGATTTCGTCGAAGAACGCAAAGTAGTCATCATCCGACATATCGGCCAGCGACAGATACCGGCGCACGTCATCGGCCAGGTCTGCCGGCAATCCGGACAGGAAGTCCTGGTCATTGCCGTAAACCACCCGGTTCTGGTTGCGAAGGTAGCTGGAGAAAGCCACGCGCATACCGGCGTCCCGAAATCCGCGCAGCACGGCGTCCACATCCTCCTTGAGGGTAGCCGCGGCGGTCTGGGGATGGTTGTACATCACGGTGGTGGTGCCCGACGCCATCATGTTGAGGGCCGTATAGAGGGTCATCAGGTAGTGGTCGTAGGGTCGGCGTCCCCAGCCGGCGAGAATCCAAACTTCCAGGCAGTCGTCGCAGGTGCCCATCTGAAGCGTCGTAACGCCGCGTCCGTGGTGATGGGAGTTAACCAGACCGGGGATAATGGCGTAGTCCAGCCCACCGAGTTCCGCGTCCGGCTGGTACTGCGCCCGAAGGGTCTGATAGGGGCCAACCGCTATGATTACGCCGTCCTCCTGGTAAACCGCCGCATCGTAGAGCACGGTGGTACCGCCTCCGGAAGCGGTGGGGCTGATCAGGTGCTTGCCGCGTATCAGTGAGGAAGCCATCGGATCACTCCATCAATTCGTTTGGGACTGGTACCAGTCGATAATCTCCGACCCGGTGGCGGCCCAGACGCCGCCCTGCCCAATCATGTGGCCCAGGGCCCGATCGATGCTGCCGATGCGGAAGGGTTGGCCAACCAGCCAGGGATGCAAATTCAGCGCCAGCAGGCGACCGTTGGCGGCGCCGTCCTCACGCAGCGTATCGAAACTCTCGGTCAGCATGTGCTGGTATTGGACCACCGTGACCCTCCGCTGGGCCAGGGCCGCTACGTCGTCCAGCTCGTAGAGTATGGGCAGCGCAAAGAAGGGGTTTGCCCCGGTGGTCATCGGATAGGGTTGTTCGTCGTTGGCCCAGTCGCAAACGTAGCGCAGGCCGGCCTCGGCCAAAAGTTGGGGAGTGCGTTGGGACTCCCCGTATTCAGGCCCCAACCAGCCCCGGGGCGCCGTCCCGGTCGCTCTTGTCACCGCGTCGATGGAGGTCTGGATGTACTCCCGCTCCTCACCCTCCGTCATATTGCTGGTAATCATGCGGCTCACCGAGATGCCGTGGCCGATGACCTCGCAGCCCCGGTCCAGGCAGTGGCGCACCAGGTACGGATAGTTTTCGGCGGTGATGGCGTCCATGGCGATGGTGGGTCGAATGCCGTGTTCCTCCAGCACATCCAGCAGCCGGAAGATGCCCACCCGGTGCCCGTATTCCCGGTGAGACACACGCGCGTAGTCCGGAAAAGCCCGTGGCGCCGATCCGCCGGACAGATTGGCGACCTGGAAACTCCCGTCTGGCGCCTCCCATTCCATGTGCTCCAGCACCAGGATGACGCAGAGGGCAACCGGAGCATTTTCCGGCCAGCGCAGGCTTGGCCGGCTGATTATGGGCGACCACTCATGGTGGGGGTGGTCCATGCCGAAAGTACGTTGAGCAGTCATAGTAGCGGCGCTCCTGTCAGGCAACCGTGTTGGTTATCCGGGCCGGCGTCCGACGCCGGCGGCAATACGCTCGTGGATCAGATGGCCGCACGTCATCCTCCCAGTTGTTGGGCGTGGGTTACGGCCTGATCGTAGTAGTTGGCAATGTAGTAGTCGGCGATCTCGTCGGCGGTGGTCTGCCAGACGCCATCGTGCGCCATGATATAACCCAGCACGTCGTCCAGGTACTTGATCGGTGGGGCTGGCCAATCAGGAAGGGATGGAGCGCGATGCACATGACCCGGCCGCTCTCGGCGCCTTCCGCGTAGAGCTGGTCGAACTGCGCCTTGCAGATGTCGGCGAAGTAGTCAGTCCCGTAATGATTGTCCCGCAGCACCGAAGAGTCGTTCAGTTCGATGGAGTAGGGCACCGACACCAGCTTCCCCGCGTTGACCTTGATGGGCGTGGGCTGGTCATCGTGGAACCAGTCGGTGTGGTAGATGAGGCCGGCCTCTGCCATCAGGTCGGGGGTACTCACACTACCGGAGATGGCCGGCCCCAGCATTCCCTTCAGCTGCTTCCCGGTGTGCCGATGCAGGGTGTCGATGCAGTCCCGGTAGAATTCCCGCTCCTGCTCTTCGGTGTGGGTGTAAAGGTAACGAGTGTTGTAGATGCCGTGGCTCATAAAATCATAGTCCCGCTCAATCATGGCTTCGGCAATTTCCGGGAAGTGTTCCAGCACCGCCAGGTTCAGCGAGACGCAACAGCGGATCCCGTGCTTGTCCAGCGGTTCCAGCATCCGCCAGAAACCGACCCGGTTGCCGTAGTCCCGGTAGGAGTATTGCTGCACGTCGGGGTAAGGCGTGCGAGGCCACGGATTCCGCACGCCCTCGTTCTCCGGAAAGTACTCGTAATGCTCCACGTTGGGGGATATCCAGAGCGCCACACGTGCGTCGTTGGGCCACTTGATGACGGGCCGGTCGATGATGGGCAGGTAGTCGATGCGGTCGGGTGGTAGCGCCATCGTTTATTCCTCCAGTGAGTGAATGGGCTGAGGGTAGGCAGGGGCCGGCAATCACACGTCTGGTAGCAGCCGGAGACCGTGATTGGTCAGCGCGGGCGGTGCAAGGCTAATCCAGGAACCCGGATTCTCGGCGCCATTGTACGTAATCCGTCAGACCCGACGCCAGGTCGTATTTCGGAGTCCATCCCAGATCGTGCCATAGCCGATAGCCGGAAAGTGGGCCGCGAGTCGGTCCCAGGGCAGCGCCCGCATCTGCCGGGGCTGCAGATTCCACTAGCCTGACCTCCGGAAATAGTTTCGGCCAGCTTGCGCTGAATCTCGCCGCCGGTAATCGGAACGCCGTTAGTGATGTTGTAAAGGTCGTGGGGTAGTTCGGCCGCGTCCACGATGGTGGCGACGGCGGACGCGGTATCCAGGACGTAGGTCAAGTCGCGCCCGTGGTCGGAATGGTCCATTGCGATGGGTTCTCCCCGCAACATCTGGCCGGTCCACTGGTACGGAGTCGACATATTGCTGCGATGGCCGGTAACCCGCTCCATCGGGCCGTAGGGGGTGCTGACCCGCAGGCTCACCGCGCCAAACCCGTGCAGCTCGCCGTAGCGCCGGGCGAGGCACTCGCTGGCAAACTTGGTAATGCCGTACAGATTACCGGGTTGGGGAGCATCATCTTCGTTGTAGGTCTGGTCGGGTTCACGGGTCAGGCCGTAGGCAGCGCCGGAGCTAATGTAAACAAACCGCGCCACGCCGGCCAACCGAGCCAGCTCCAACAGGTTGCCGGTACCGGTCAGGTTGATGTCCAGAATGTCCTTGCTGCGAGCGGTTTCCAGGTCGGTGCGGTTCACGGTGATCACCGCAGCGTGAACCACCTGGTCGATGGAATGTGCCGAACGCAGCGCGTCGAGGCCCGCAGTATCCAGGATGTCGCCGGTGAGGAAGGTAACGCGCGAGCTCAACTCGCCCAAAAACTGCTGCGTCAGCGAATCGGGAGCCATCACGTCCAGGCTGATGACATCATGCCCGCGAGCGGCCAATTCCTTGACGATGTTGGCTCCGACAAAGCCGGTGCCGCCGGTTACCAGGATTGCCATTCTGTCCATCTCCCCGGATTGTATTCCCTTCCTGTACCCATTCGATGGGGCTTTTGTAGTGCGACCCTCACGTGCCTACCCACGCAGAACGATCTGACGGGAACGACCGCTACGTATGTTGGGGACACGCAGAAGTCTAATCGCACGGCATTTCCCAGTCAAACCGCGCAGTCCTCCGGACGTAGCATTCTCAATAACTGCGGCCGGCGGCCACATTTCAGGAAATGCTGGGATAGAATGGCACTCGCAGCGCAATCCGCCGGCTCATAATGACGGGTGATTGATAAACCAGTGAACGACCGGCCCCCGCCAGTAACCGGCTCACCCGCCCGCCAGTAGAAGTGTTATCCCACGCTCAAGCCCGGTACCAGATGAAAACGGAGGTGTATTGGACACTATGAAGTACGACGTAATCGTAGTCGGCGGCGGTTCCGCAGGTTCGGTGGTGGCCAGCCGATTGTCGGAGGATCCGGCGCGCTCGGTGTTGCTGCTGGAGGCCGGCCAGGACTATCCCAACCCGGAATTCCTGCCTGAAGCCGTGCGCAATGGCTACTCCAACGACGGCGAACAACCCGGTTCGCCAATATCGTGGTCGCTGCGCGGCATCATCAACGACCAGCAGGGCGAAATCAACATCGCCCAGGGCAAGGTCATCGGCGGCTCCGGATCCATCAACGGACAGGTTTACCTGCGCGGGCTACCCGAAGACTTTGAACGCTGGGCGTCGTCCGGCAACGAGGAATGGACCTATCTGAAAGTCCTGCCGTTCTTCCGCAAGGCCGAAACCGACCTGGACATCCAGGATGACTTCCACGGCAGCGACGGGAAAACGAGCCGTGGCCCGACGTCCAGCAGGCATTTCACTCCGCCGCCATGGAGCGCGGCTACGCGCGCAACCCCGACCTGAACGGCCCCGATTCCGCCGGTATCGGAGCCATCCCCATGAACAACCGGGCGGGCGTTCGCATGAGCACTGCCATCACTCACCTGAATCCGGTGCGCCATCGGCTCAACCTGACCGTGCGGGGCAACGTGCTGGCGCGCCGGGTGCTTTTCGTGGGGTCTCAGGTGGCCGGACTGGAAGTGGAAAGCGGCGGCGAGATTTTCAACGTTGAGGCCGACCAGGTGGTGTTGTGCGCCGGCGCGCTGAAGTCGCCGCACCTTCTGATGCTGTCCGGCATTGGCCCGCGCGAACAACTGGAAGAGTTCGGCATCCCGGTGATCCAAGAGCTGCCGGGCGTGGGTGGAAACCTGTTCAACCATCCCATGGGAAACGTGTCGTTCCAGGTAAAAGACCACGTTGAACTGCACGCCAACGCCGGCGCCCTGCGGTTCGGGCTGCGCGTTACCTCGGAGCCGCCTTCGCAACCCTGCGACGTGATGCTGCACACGCTGGGAGTCTTCAACGTCATGACCGGCGAGCATCTGCCTGACCGCACAGTCGCATCGCCTGTGCCCTGGAGCTGCCGGAAGGTTCGGGCTGGGTACGATTGGCGTCTGCCGACCCGACGGTTCAGCCTGCCATCAACTATCGTTATTTTCACAACGAGAACGATATGCGGCGGATGCGCGACGCAGTGCGGCTGGCGGCAAGTATGCTGGAATCGGAGGCGTATCGGGACGTGATGGATTACCGCATCTCCCCTACGGATGAGGTTCTCGCTGGTGACGATGCACTGGACAGTTGGATTCGCCAGACCGTGGGTACTTCCCGCCATGTCTCCGGCACCTGCCGGATCGGCCCCGATGCCGACCCTCCGGCGGTGACCGACCAGCAGTGTCGCGTCCGCGGCGTACAGGGACTTTGGGTTGCCGATTCGTCGATAATGCCACAGGTAACCAGGGCCAACACCAACGCCACGGCCATCATGATTGGCGAACGGGTGGCTGACTGGATAGCGGGGTAACCGGGCAGCCGGGTAGCGGTTGCCCCGGTTCGGACAGGCCGTTACACTGCCGGTGTCCTGACTGATGAACGCGGGACTATTGAACGTGAGATTATGCCGGGCGGCAAGCCCACGGAGATTTTATGATTTATGAAGTCCGTACCTACGACATGAAACCCGGAGCGGTGCCCCAGGCTGAGGAGGCCTTTGCCGAGGCATTGCCCTACCGCGAGAAATATTCGCCCATCGCGCCTTCTGGCACACCGAGATGGGCCGCTGAACCAGATCATCCACGTCTGGGGCTACGACAGCCTGGAAGAGCGGGAGCGTATCCGCGCCGAGGCGAGCCAGGAGCCCAACTGGCCTCCCAAAATCACCCCGGGCAACATCGTGAACATGAACTCCGAGGTCTGGACGCCGGCCCGTTCATGCGGCCGATGGGCGGCGACCAGGCGCTGGGTAACATCTACGAGATGCGTGTCTACACCTACGAAAACGGCTCAATGCCGGAACTCCTGCGTCGCTGGGCCGACTCGTTGCCTTACCGGGAGGAGTTCTCCCCCCTGGCCGCCGGTATGTACACCGAGTTCGGCAACCTGAACCGCTGGATGCACGTGTGGCCCTACAAGGACCTGAACCACCGCGCCGAAGTGCGGGCCGAAGCCAGCAAGATTCCCCAATGGCCTTCGGGAGCGCCCGGCAGGGTCAGCCAGGAAAACAAGATTATGATACCGGCCAGCTTCTCGCCCATGCACTAACGGCCTGTTGATGCTCAAAGAGGGTGTCTAAAAACTCCCTCTCCCCTTGTGGGAGAGGGTTGGGGTGAGGGGTCGTTCCCCCGCTATTCCACCTCTCGCCCAATATTCACCAGGCGCTTATTAGACACCCACTGAGTCCAGTCTCACGTCGGAGGCAGGATCTCCAAGGCAAGAGTCTCGATGCAAGCCAACTCGTCTGGGGCGCCTCAAAGCGTTGGCAATCTCAAAAAAGTCGGGGGCATCTCAGGAAGTAGGAAGTATAAGGAGTAGCATCATCAAGCCGACTTTCTTTGGCGATTCGCACGATATGGCAAACGACAAATCATGCACTGGTTGAGTCCCATTGGTTCGTGGATCGCCCATCCGATGTGGTACAACGAGAGGCCGGAGCCGCCACCCTACCAACCCTTCCTGGACCGATACGCTGTGGCGCTGAATGTGGGCATTGTGGTTGGCGAATCCCCGAACAGGCAAGAATTTGTTGAGACTGCCATGGCGTGTGAGGAGCATCTGCTACTGGACCCTGATACCGGCTTGCGGCGACCTGGAGATAACCGGGTTAGCACGACGCACGTCACGGTTGACGAATCTATTCAGATCGTGGGTGCTCAAAACCGCAATGGAAAATTACTCTCATCTATGACCAAAGCAACCAGCGCGCTAACCGCGAACTGATTCGTCAAGCATGCGGAGATAAACTGCAACCGCTTCACAACGAGGGGCATCATGCAGTGGGATATTTGGCACACCAAAACGTCGTCTTCATCTGGGCTTCCACGGACCCTGGAGTCATCACAGATGCCGCCCGGATGATGCAGCGGGAATCACGTTTCCCCGCCTTGCGTTTCGTGGATGATGGCTGCGGACATGTGTGGTGATTGATGCTATCCACCGACCGCGTATCCTCCAGCTTTGCCGACGCCCGGGCCGTTTACACCGACGCGTTGAAGCTGCTGGAGTCTGGCGACATCCGCGATGCGGCGGAGAAGGCGTGGTGCGCCACCAAGCGGGCCACCGATGCCCTGATACTGGCGCGAACGGGCGAAGAACCTGAACTGTCCCCGGACACCTCGCGAGGACTGCTTGCGCTGGCCGAACAAGACAGCGCCATTAGTCCGTTGATTGGGCGCTATTACTCCAGACAGGGCCATTTGCACGGCGGCTGCTTTTACCTCGGCATCTGTGAACCGGTGGATGAGGTGCATCGACGCATCCGTCAAACTGCCGACTACATCAGCGACGCCGCGAGGCTCGCCGGCTATTCCGACGCCGCTTGATCCAAGACACTCAACAGGAAAGGAACCCAACTATGAAACTTCTCACCTACGATCCGGGAACCGGGTCGCGTTGCGGGGTACTGCAGGACGATGCGGTAGTTGACGTGGCGGCGTTGATTGGCGCCGGGCAACCGTTGCCGGACGTGCGCGCGCTGCTCGAACTGGGAGATTCCCCCATTGACCGGGTGGCAGACGCCCTGGCCAGCAACGTGGCTGCTCCGAGAGTGGCCCTGGCGGATGTCCGCTTGCGCGCTCCGGTGCTGCAACCCCCCACGGTGCGAGACTACATCGTGTACGAGGAACACGCCACATCCCAGGGGACACGCGAAATCGACCCGGTGTGGTACCGAATGCCCGTGTTCTACTTCTCCAACCCGCTGGTCATCTACGGGCCCGACGAGCAGGTGCCGTACCCGTCAGCCTCCGACCAACTGGACTACGAACTGGAAATTGGCTGCATCATCGGTCGTGCTGGCACCAACGTCCCGGCCTCCGAAGCCATGCAGTACATCGCGGGTTTCTGCATCTTCAACGACTGGAGCGCCCGCGACCTCCAGTTTGACGAGATGACTTTCGGCCTTGGGCCGGCCAAGGGTAAAGACTCCGCTTCTTCCATTGGCCCCTGGCTGGTTACCACCGATGAGCTGGAACCGTACATCCACGACGGTCGGCTCGATGTGGCCTGCCACGTCAGGGTCAACGGCGACGACTGGCTGAAGAATGGCGAAGCTCTCAACGCCTACTACAGTTGGGGCGAGATTATCGAACGAGCGTCAAAAGACAGCCGAATCGCCCCCGGCGACGTGATAGGCAGCGGCACCGTCGGCGGCGGTTCGATTCGGGAGTCGATTCGCAAGGGTTACGAAAACGCCCGCTGGCTAGAACCCGGCGACGTGGTGGAAATGGAAGTGGAGCACATCGGCGTGCTACGCAACGATCTGGGGCAGAAGGTCGGCGTCGACGCCAATTACCGCTACCTACCCAGTAACCCCACTGCCACACCGGAGCGAGGCTCGGCGCGGGACTACCGCTATCACCGAACCCGCTAGCCGGCGCCAGACTTCTGTACGAGGTCACCCGAGGGCAACCGTTGTGGTTGCCCTCGCTTTTTCAGTGTCAGTCGGCCTCCACCGCAGAAAGGAACTGAACGACCCGCCTGGCGTACTTCTCGGGCTCCTCGGAGTGAGGGCGCACTTCGGCCCATTGGCAGTTGGGCACCAGACGGTGAACCATCTCAGCCACACGCCTCGGGTGCACGTCGTTGTTCCCCGGCATGACCATTGCCGGAACCCGGATACTCTGGAGCGCCTGCTTGGTCATCCCCAGGGTCAGGAATGGTGCGTCGAATAGTGCGTAGATGGTGTCGCGCATCACCTGGACGAAATCCTCGGTGCTCATCGCCTCCAGGTTCTTTCGATACATGCAGGCAATCAGTCTGCGGCATCTCAGGAGCCTGATCGATGCGGAAAAAGCGGGCGTGCGGGAGAGAGTCGCTATTCGAACGCTAGCCACCCCTAACAACTAACGACGACGGGATGCTCGTCGTTTTCACGCCATAGTACCATGCTCCAATTATCTTAAACAGCTTCCCGGTGAGATAACCGTCCGAGAGACGAGCCATCCGGACAATGTGGACAGGGAGAAGAAAATGGGTGCGCACCGTTCCGGAACAGGAACGTAGGCGCAACCGAAGGAAATGGCGGCTCCAAACGATCCGCCGCCCAGATAGGCCTGGTCTATGCCCAACGTGTCCATCAGGCCGAAAACGTCGTCGCAAACCATATCCCAGGTCTGACTAACCAACCGCGAACGGGACCAGTGAGCCCACCGAACGGGAACGGTAGTAGACAGACGACACGAGTGTTACTTGCGACGAGCGCTCAATACCGGATGGTCAGCTGCTCGAGGCAACATGAAGCCCAAACCCGAGACGCGAATAGGAAGGATGATGGGAACGGTCCCTTGCCCCGACCCCCGCCCCCAAAGGATTCTTCGTCAATAGAGCTCGGCTGCCGTTCACTTTGTGAAGTACCATCATTCGGAACTCCAATCGGGTGTTCCAGTGCGGCTCCACCTTGGCGCAGAAAAATGGTTTGTACCATGTTGTGGAAGTATATAACGTGCGCCCCGGCGTCAGGGAAGGCAAACGCAGGGAGGAAGGAACCAATCTGACCCTTGGTCATTTCCAGGAACGTAGCGACGTGGCAATCCCGATGTGGTCACGACTACCGTCGCCAAAAATGCCCCTAATGCGGTTTCGGCACAGGACAGGGAAACGACGAATGGCCAGGGGGTTTGCCGTGAAAATGGGTGGCACGAGACGGTGCAAGGATTAGATCGGTTCAGGGCAAGGAGCGCACCTATTCCCATTGCAGGGATGGTAAGCACGCAGAGGGCAAGAAAGGGAGGTGATAGGAAAAGAGTGACATCGCACAATTGATGTGGAGAATCTAGACCTACCGCCGGCACTCACGGGACCACGCAAAAAAGGTAGGGGCTTCAGGCAGGCTGGAAGTACGCGAAAGCGAGGCCAACCGCAGCCGGCCAAGCAGGACGCGCCATAAACACGCGATGTTTCAAGCCGTGTGTCCCGGCAGGATATTTCACCCCTCCACGCAGGCACCAGCCGGTGACCCAGCGCCCGGCCTTAAGAGACGCTCCTACACTCATTGTACGACGAGCCAACACCGAGCCAAAGGGGAATCAATCACGAAGGATACTCATTCCTCCAAGAAGATCATGAGCGCAACAGGCCCCCACTTCGGCCAGCAGGAACGCTGAAGAGGTCACAACAGTGCTCAGGGCGCCGCGAGAGCCCGGCAAAACGTAGCTCCCCGGGTCCGCGACGCACTCCACGGCCAGCACCGGTCTGCCGGCCGATCAGTACCTCCTCAGTGCCAGGGTATGGCTGATTAAGCTCCATAACTCAATGTGGACCATCGGACATAACGAGGTCACAAGCATTCACAGTAGCTCAAATTCTGAAAGCATCCGCGGTAACACGGACAACAGGCGGGGGATGAGTCTCGTTGCACAACGGGTGTCATATCACACCCAAATGCGCAACGGGCACCCGATCTCGAAGAGGAATAACGGGCAGCGCACGAGTTAGTCCGCGGACCCGGCCTGGGACGCGGGTAGGGTGCAGCCCCCACTTCCCCCAATGGCGCCGGTCAGC